GTGGCAACGTCCTTCTCTAAATTTTACTCCTGCATTGCCGACAAAGGGGTGAGTCAACTTGGCGTGGCCACTTCCTTCTCTAAATTTCACCCCTGCATTGCCCACAAAAGGGTGAGTCAAGTTGGAGCGACCACTTCCTTCTCTCAAGTTTACCCTCAAGTGGCTCACCAAGGGTGACTCAACTTGGAACGACCACTTCCTATTCTAAATTGTACCCCTGTATTGCCGACAAAGGGGTGAGTCCACATGGAAGGGCAACTTCCTTCTCAACCTTTTACCCCTGCATTGCCGATCACAGTTTGAGGCCACTTGGCCTCCAAACAGGCGAGTTTGAAGAGCCAGCTCGTGCAATCAATTTGTATAAATATATGTATACAAGTATGCAATGAGACCATCATGTATAAAGCGGTGTCTAATACCTTTCAACATCTTTCAAGCGGGATTCCTTGGTTACCTCTTTTGGGGCGATGTTCTGGTTGTTTCTGGCTTCCGAAGCAGACACCAGGCTACAGCTTGCTAATGTGGTGCAGTTGCAAGCTGCGGCTTAGAGCACCAGCCATGGACCTGGGTCAGTCCGAAAAAAAAGGGCTAGGCAGCAGCAAGGCGTCTCATGGTGTTTTGACATCTATATTTTAGCATCAAGTAGACGTGTCAATCTTGCAGGCGTCAGGTGGATGTGGCTGTGTTGCAGCTGATGTTCAGTCAAGTTAGAAATTCCAGGAGGTCTGAGTCCGAGCATGGAAATGGACCTACGCTAGAGGGGGGGTTAAACGGGCCACCGACACCGGCGCCGGCTATACCGCACCGGGCACCGGCCACCGGCCCGGCCACCGGCCACCGGCCATGCCACCGGCCACCGGCCACCGGCCACCGGCTACCGGACCGGCTACCGGCCACGGGCCACTGGCCACCAGCCACCGGCACCGGCCACCGGCCACCGGCCACCGGCTACCGGACCGGCCACCGGCCACCGGTCACCGGCACCGGCCACCGGCACCGGCCACCGGCACCGGCCACCGGCCACCGGACCGGCCACCGGACACCGACAAAAAAAGTATATACTCTGAATCCAGTAATGTCATTTTTAAGTGAACACGTGCTTTCCATGTTGGGATCCAGTATTGTCATTTTTTAGTGAAAACGGGTTTCCCAACATATTATACCCATTCATCTGGATATTCATGTTGTAGAGGCCTCTTTTTTCTGCTTCCTGGATGTTATGCCTGTCATTTTACAGAGCATGTTCTTCCACTGCTCCTTAGCCACACCTGGATGTGGCTTGGCATACTATATAAGCACCTTTGCCTGTCATTTTATAGAGATTCTATCCCTTGCCACTCATTGTTTAGAGGGCAGCGTGACCAGCAAAGCACCCAACAGGCCACCCACGGGGGATCCTGATGCAAAATAATGTAAAAACCTACCCTGAACTAGTGCGTGGCAACAGATGTGGGTTAGTCGTGGTGTTTGCACCGGAAGCCAGTGGCAAGTGGAACAAGGAAACGGCGGAATTTCAGCAGCCGTTCAGTCATCCATCGTGCGGTGGTCTGCCAGAGCTCAGCACCCTCCTTGAACAGTACCCCAACACCCTCCCTTTGGCATCCCGCCTCGTTCTTCGATTTGCCTTTCCTATCCCCCCCTTAAATGCAAGTGGCCCGGCACTTGGTCAGCGGAAACTGTTGGTGCAACACCGGACCAGACCACCACCGACCTATGTCAACAAAACAATGCAAGAAAAGACCTAGTAGAGGTTGAGGTTTCCAGTTCTCCCTGCCATCTCGCCTGGCGACGTTGTTCTGTATTGGCCGGCTTGCAAGCATCGTGTGGCCACCAAGTCCGGAAGAACAAATTAGAGTCATTAACAAACACTTTGACACCACGGCCGCGCATGCCAAAGGTTTTGCCGTGGTTTTTTTGTTGCGTAAGTCTGTAAGCGTGGACCGTGTTGGCCTTCCGGCAGAACGTCTCATTCAAAGTCACAGAAGGAAAGTCCACACAGGAAATCCAAAGTTGAGCAGTTGAGTTGGCTATGGGCCAGGCAGGCGGCTGGGGGCTGGGAAACTTCTGGGTCTTGGGCCAAGAGCTGCCCCAAGAGAGGGAGATCCTCTTGCCTGCACACGCGTGAGGGAGGCGCCCCACCGAGCAATGAGAGCCGTGACTGTGGCAGGGCATATTTGTGCTGGGACTGTTCGGGCTGTGCTGTGGGCAAGAGAGCGGAGGAACTGTGCTGCTTCTGTGCTTCATCGCCCCTCGGCCTTCAACGGCGAAGACCACCAAAGGGCACCTCCCCGTGCCTTGCAGCTCTGGGTAGTAACTCTCCTTGGCCTGTCTTGCTTCATGCAAGGCTGCTCCTGCATATCGACCTCCTTGTTGGCGTGGTTGGCCTGCACTGTCGACTGCGAGCTGTGCCCCGTAAACCACAGCGGGAGGCCATTGGATGACCTCTATGCGACGTTCATCAAGGCGGCAGGGGGTGGGGATGTTGAGGTCGGTGGCCCTGGTGTGCATTGTTACTCTTGCTCCAGCCTCCCGGCGTATTTGTGCCTTGTGCTGCAGCTATCTTGAGTGGCCCCCCCGCGGCTTCGGAAAACCCTGGTCCTGGCATAGGAAACTGGAAGGCGCGTGCGATAGGAGGAAACCGCTGCAACTGTTGAACTTGGACCTCTGGGATATCACAGCAGAAGTGAAGGACCAAAGCACAGTGAGGCTACCAAAAGATTTCCCACGAAGCCTGAAGACGAAGAGAACCCGAGTGAACGATGGAAACCAGAAGAAAGTCATGCTGGCTGCCTTGCAACAAGTGGTGATAAGTGGTGGGACCTCCAGTGTCGACGATCTAAGCTTTGAATTTGCTTTGGATCACGGTGGCTGCTAGAGCATCTGGACGATTCTTGCCAATCACCACCAATGATGAAGGGTGCCTGTGGTTGTTCCAGGTAGGTCAAGAGGTGGGAAAGGATGTCAGCATTCACTGTGCGGAGGTAGATCTGAATAATGACTAGTTGGAAGTTCTGCCGCTGAAGGCCCGTAGCCGTCCACCCATTGCCCTCTTTCATGTATATAAGTGAAGGCCTGGTCAAAAAGGTCACACGAGAAAGGTGTCCGGCCCCTTATGTTGGTGTCTTCCCGTATGAAATTATGATTCCAACCGGCAGTTGCAATTTTGACAAAACCCTGACAAAGCGCCAGGCGTGCCGACTTCACAGGACACCAGTTCAATTTTTAGCTGTCAGGGCCCCTCCAATCAGAGAGGCTTTCAGGCTTTAATAAACACCACAGTTTCCCCACGTATTGAAGCGCCACCCCTTGCAACGTGCTGATGCAGTAGCAGCTGCTGAGATGTGTTTTGTTCAGGCGAGACACCGGAACATGCATCCACAACGAAAATTTTTGCTGCAACACGCGTGGGTGGGGTGTGCCTGGCACTGGAATGCGCGGGTTTGGACGATGCCACGATGCACTAAGCCACTATAAGTTTAGCAATTTTAGGGTTTGCAAGACACAAACCGCGCAGAAAAACGTTGCAGGACCTAGAGGTTGCAGCTGAATTAAGTTGCGGCCCGGAGCCTTTGGGATTTCTATTCACCGTTGATGGCATGATTGTGACTGTGGACAAAGGCAGCTCAGCTATGAGCAAAAGCGTTAGTTTGCAAGTAGTTTCTGCCATGGCATTAGGGTTTCACCTCCGGGAGTCGTGTTGTTCTCTTTGGTTGCTGTTGTGTGCGGAACAAATCATTATTTTTTATTTTATTTTTTTTTTGTCATGGCCTCCTGATTGCGTTTTGCACAGTTTTTGTTACGTTCTCTGGGAAGGCCCCTGCGCTATCTCCTGTTGATGTTGTGTCGATTTTTGAGTTTCCATTAATGTCTAACTAATAGTCAATAGTCCTGACAAATGGTTCGGTTACAATTGCACTCATTTGTTTATGATCCACCACGGTGTTTGCAGTATAGTTATAGTTGTGCATTTATTTTGTCTACTTAATTTCACGACTGCGTTTTTCCCTCTATTCCCCGGACAAGGCTCAGTCAGTGCAACTTTTTTTCGCCATCCAGTCTTTCAACCCATTGATGCCCACAAGCAGAATCCTACAGCAGATCAGCCGACAGCCTACGGCCTAGAATTCACTGTTTCCAATCAGTGGCAAGATGTGTTAAAGGGCCTGCAGCCCGGGGCGTACTGTTTGCTCTTTACAACTGTTTTGTGTGTCAGAGACAAACATTGAACCTAAAAGTGCAAGACGGATGTTCTTTTTAGGGCTGCTTGAGTTGTAGGGATCAACATCGCGCACTAGTCGATGAACTGAATGTTTACATTTTATGAAACATTTTATGTACATGTAGCATGCATGTTATATAAGTTATATATATATATATATCTGCATGTATTTTTTCTTGGTGGTACTGTTACTTGGTACTGTTACTTAGGCAGTTGGGCAGAGAGGCATGGCGTTCAAGTGGGTGACCAGATCCTTGCCATCAGCGGCTTTTCGATGGAGAAGTTCCTACAAAAAAATCCCACCGCGCGAAGTCGCATGTCCTTAATGGGGCCCCAACGCGTGGTCCTTCGACTCAAAGCTGAAAAGGGCCATGTCAAAGAAGCCATCCGAACGGTTCAGTCGAAGCCGATCACCCACCAGCGTGCCGATTTTAGGCGTGCTTTGCAGGAAGAATCTCAACGTTTTTCCTTCCGACACTTTATCGCTGAATTTGGATGTTTTTTGTTTTCTTCATCAATTTCCTGTAGAGTCTTGATGGGTACAATTGTTAAATGGCACTCCTTTTTTTTCGGGCACATATTTTACTCGGAGAGGATTGTTCTAGAACCTCGTTTGGAACAGCAGAGGTGAGGCCTTGCAAAAGGAACTGTTGCATTGGCGGCCGCGCGACACCTGGCCGTTCCCAGGGTTGGCTGCAAGCTCTGTGGATGCCGTTGTGGAAGTCAACCAGTTGTGCTTCGGCCATGACGAGAGCACGCAGAGCGGCCGGCGGCCGGCCCGCATTAAGGAGATGGAGGCAGCTGCCCGAAAGTTGCAATCCCTGTTTCGATGGCGGAAGTTGTGGCAGCAGCTCGACACAAGCCAAGAACGTGCCGAGGCAGCGACAAAGATTCAATCAATGCAGCGTGGAAGGCAGATCCGAAGAGGTGTTGCAGCGCAATTCGCAGCTTTCCACGAGGATCACACCAAGTCTGACACGAGCATGGTCGGTTCCGAAGGAAGCGAGGGTCAAGCTGACCACGTTGGTGCTGATTTGCCTCGGACGCTGGGTGATGTTGCTGAGCCGCCCGCCCAGCACAACAAGCCCCGGGCAGAAGAACCCGAGGTTACAGCTCGAGGAGTGGACTTGAAGAAGTCGCGGCTCAGCAACAATCAAAAAGTATGAACGCCGGGATGCCGCCTTGTCGTGTTACAGTGGTTTCAGAGTAGATGGCGCAATCCCCAAAAGGTGGTTTATACGGACCCCCATATGCTAGACATATTTGGGTTTGTGCAGCCCCGACTTGGACAAAAACAAGCTGTCCGAGGACATCAAGCGAAGAACCTGTGGAAGTCCAACGTGGTGGACATTCAGTTGTGGAGCAGGAAGTGCCCAGAGTGTCTTGACACACAGTAAATCACCGCGTCCAATTTGTCAGAGTGACAGCAAGACTGAGGTGCAACTGCACAGAGCTTCTGGAGCTTCTGCGGCTCCAGAACCACGAGCACCGAAGGTGACGAACTTCTTTGACGCTCCAGATCCTGTGTTGGAAGCTGCTGCGACTCGCATTCAAGCCGCGGAACGGGGCCGGCAAAGCAGGAAGAAGCGCCCAGCACCCTCGTTTTCGGCCGGGCCCATCTCGCCGACTGGGCCAGCGGCTGAGGAGACCGCGGAGGGCCAATGGAATTCGGTTCCACCACTGACGGTGGAGGAGTCCACTGACTGGCTGGGATCACCGGAAAGTGCTTCCTGGAATGGGGAGGAGCAAGAAAGGGGTCATCAACCCATCGACGCGATGACGAGCCCGGACGACACTGGGGAGATCGTCGACACGAGCTCAGTCAAGAAGGACGATGAACCTGGAAAAGACCACATTTTCCAAGTCCGCACTGAAGTGGCGCCAGCTGACCCAAGTCTTCAGCCTGCAACTGAAAGTGACTCTTTCAAGATTGAGCCTGTGAAATTCGACCAAGCCAAGAGCACCGCCGTCCAACCAGAATCGTTGCAAAGCCCACGACGGCAAACCAGCCAGGGCAGCGATGAGGCTCCAATCAATACCATGGACTTCCTCTCCGAGGAGGCAGCAGTGGCTGTGCCACAGCAGCGCCTTCAACTGCCCAAACCCAAAAAATCACCCAGGCAGCGCCCCGACAGGATCGGACCAATCATCCCCAAGCCGCAGCCGAAAGCTCCAACAACTCCAGCGTCTGACTCAAGCGCGTGGTTCCTTGTCCGGTGTTGATTCCACCCCTTTTTTTCCGCCTTTTTCCTTGGACCCTTCGGCCATCGACCTAAGGCTCATCGACTTATCCAGCTCCGGGGAGCTCCAAGACCCCGCGAAAGGGGCCGCCGCCGATGCTCTCGGCCCGTCTCCGCGCGGGCGAGTGCAGCCTCAGGGCTTTCGAATTCCGAAGGAAAAAGAAAAAGAGAAAGAGAGTGACTCGAAGAGAAAGAAAAAGAAGAAGGACCGCAAGGACCGCAAGGACGAGGAAGTGGATCTGGACAGCTTTGGATTCCAACTTTTCTGATTGGTGCCCGTCTCACATGTACATAGTGGAGCGAGAGAGTCAAGCCCGCACAGCGAGAGAGAGAGAGAGAGAGGATGCCGGTCATCACTGTTGCGTCATTGAAGACAAAAGCTACGATGTCAGTTCAAGGGACATTTGGATTCTCACGTCCTTTCATGTCCTTGCTTTGCTTTGTGATGTCAGCTTTCTCGCTTTTGCCATTCGGCCAAGGCAAGGACTTATTGTATTGGTTTCATGCTGGAATCGGTTCGCCACGGATCAGATCCCACAAGCAATCTTCACTGTAGGTGTAAATGTCACAACAGGTGTCCGTGTATATATATATATATATTTGCGTGTAAATGCTAAGTACAGTAGTTTTATGTACTACACACATTTTTACATTATATAGATTTGCTTCAGACCATTCGTCATTTTCCTTCCCAAGATGAAAACCTGGACGGAGCAACCAATGAGTCGAACAACTTTTCATGCTCCTGCAGCCTGCACCATGTTCGACTTGAGTTGCAGCATGTCGTCCACAACCTGTGGTTTCTGACAATGGCTGCTGTTGGGGTTGCTTGGATCAAGATGTGTGGGCCCAGTGCAGCACAATTGTGATCATATTTTCTTGTTGATTGTATGACATTCTACCACAACAGCCCGGATGCCTTGATTTAACTCAATGCGTTCCCGAACCACTCCGCAACATGTGTATAAGTCCTTGCGCGGACATGCGCATGATAGGATGCAATGTCTTGGACACGGTTTTTGTGTTCATTCATACAGCCAGTCCTTGTTGGTATCTTCTTTTCAACAGACAGGATAGACGGGACCAAGAAACGTGTTGCAGGCCAAGCAGCGAATCGAGCCCAAAGTCTTGGCAGCCTTGGTCGGGTGGCTCGTGGGACAGGGGCCAGTGATGGCTTGCCAGAATCGGTTGCAAAGAGTTGTAGCATGAGAGGGGGCCCCCCTTGCATTGGGTGGTTGACTGATAGATGGAAGAGCGAGTGCGATTTAGAAGATGGTAGTTGTGGTGTTGGACAGTGGCTATGACATGTGACAAATGATTTTTCTGGGAGGGTTTGGGCTTCGATATGCCATACTTTAATGTAATCGTTGAAATTATTTATGTTTGTTCATCAAGGGTGTACAGTAGTAGTTATATTCTTTTTTCCCCACCTGTCAGGTGAGGGTTGTTAGATTTTACGTCAGCCCCATCTCCTTCTACTTCTCCTTCTCCTCCGCCTCCTCCACCGGACCTCAACCACGACCATCCACGCCCAGTGTTCCCTGCCGGACCTCAACCACGACCATCCACGCCCAGTGTTCCCTGCCGGACCTCAACCACGACCATCCACGCCCAGTGTTCCCTGCCAGAAGTCAACCACGACCATCTACGCCCAGTGTTCCCGGCCGGACCTCAACCGCGAGCTCCAGACCCAAGTGTTCCCTGCCGGACTTCAACCACAGCACACACCCACAACCACAATCACAATCATACCACCACACAAACACAATCACAAACACACAGCCACAAACACACAACCACAAACACAGAACCACAAACACACAAGCACAAACACACAAGCACAAACACACAACAACAACAACAAACACACAAGAACAAACACACAACCACAAACACAACAACAAGCACACAAGCACAACCACAAACACACAACCACAAACACACAGCCACAAACACACAACCACAAACACAGAACCACAAACACACAACCACAAACACACAACCACAAACACACAACAACAACAACAACAACAACTACTACTACTACTACAACTACTACTACTACTGCTGCTACTACTACTACTACTACTGCTACTACTACTATTACTACTACTACTACTACTACTACTACCAACTACTACTACTGCTACTACTACTACTACTTCTTTTTCTTCTACCCTAATACTACCACTACTGCTACTACTACTACTACTACCACTACTACTGCTACTACTACTACTACTACTGCTACCAGGGCCCCAGTTTGCAAGGTTCGGGCCCCGAAGGTCGGGCCCCGAACTGCGCACTACTATTGCTACTACCACCGCAGTACTACTACTACTGCCACCAACACCACCACCACCACCACTACTACTACTCCTACTGCTCCTACTACTACTACTACTACTGCTACTGCTACTGCTACTGCTACTACTACTACTACTGCTGCTGCTGCTGCTGCTGCTACTGCTACTGCTACTGCTACTGCGACTACGACCACGACCACGACCACGACTACGACTACGACTACGACTACGACGGCGACTGCTACTACCACTACGACGACGACGACTACCACTACTACTGCCACTACTACCACTACTTCCACTACTACTACTACTACTGCTACTACTGCTACTACTGCTACTACTGCTACTACTGCTACTGCTACTCCTACTACTACTACTACTACTACTCCTACTAGTACTAGTACAACTACCACGACTACGACTACTACGAAAACGACTACCACTTCTACTACTACTACTACTACCACTACTACTACTGCTTCCACTACTACTAGTACCACTACTACTCCTACTAGGTCCCCGGAAGTTTCCAAGGTTCGGGCCCCGCCCCGAACTGTGCGCTGCGTCGTCGTAGTAGTAGTAGTACTACTACTACTACTGCTCGGGCCCCGGAAGTTTCCCAGTTTTGGGCCGCCCAGTACGATTCCAATTGAAATGATCTGAGTTGTATTGTCAGTTGGGCGCAGGTCTCCTGATGAATGCATTCGTTTCGGACAAAGCAGTAAGACTTGGCGCTGAAGGACTTGTGCTATGGGCTGAAATACACAACGGGGGTGATGTCAACGTGGCTGTTTTGAAATGTCATGGTGGGGATCACTCGAAGTAAAGTAATTTGGTTCACCAACATGTTCTGTCCTGCTTGCGGGCTTGCAGTTGCGGCCAGTCTTGTCAACAAGTGGCAGGCGAAAAGATGCTTATTCACCGCCGCCTCGCAAGGTGAATCGCTTCACATGTGAGACGGCTGAGTTCCTTTCAGCCTTCGCCATTCAAGCTGAGGCGCGACACTTCTTTCCACACCGTCTGAGATGGAAAGCCAATGAACGAAGACCCGTTGGCATTGCTTATCACCATCATAGTAGGGACAAGAAATCGTTTTTCCCGCACCTCAAGCGGACACGCGCTGCACTGAGAGTGCTTCTATGTAGAATGCCTCCCTCAATCTTGCAGGGGCGAGTCTCTTGAAACTAGTGGGGCGTGCGACTCTTTTTTTTGGGGGGGGCATGTTTGGCATCATCATCCAGGCTGGGCCTCTGGTCCGGGGCCGGCCTGGACGACCTAGGCCAAGCTTCTGCAGCTCACCCAGAGACTGGAGCGCTTAGAGAGGCGAACCAGGGGGCCTTTGTTGAAGCGAGCAACCGCCGCGATTTCGCACACGGACCGTGTCGGACGAGTTCCGTGCTTTTGCCGCCGTGGTTTGGACCGAAAACAAGCTAGATAGAAAGATAGGACTGGTAAGTAACTCCCCGAGGTCCAGAAACCACGCAGCAAGCATGGGTCATATTTCATATGCATAGCTTGGCAGCTTGGCAGTGGTTCACCCAAAGCAACACATCAAAACATCTTCAGTCTCATGCAAAGAATAGCCGCACAGTAAGCTGGCTCCAGTGGCTGATGCTCTCGCACAGAGTGCCGGTGTTAACGATGTGATGCCTTGACTGCGTGTGCGAAAATGAATGTCTCCAAGCTGCACCAGCAAACCTTTTGTGGACAAAGGCCAGGGACCCTTCAAGGGTGAAAGGGCAGAGCCAATGCAAGTGGGGAGTTGCCCCACGCTGTTGTATTGTTTTTGTTCTGGTGCCTTGCCATCGACTTGCTGCTGTGGTTTGCGCTCGCCACCCGTTTTCTTTTTCTTCTGGGGGGGTTGGACTTCCACTGCTAGAGAGTGAAATGTGGGCTGAACTAACAAGGGGTTTGTTTGCCATTGTGAGTCCATGCATATGGAACCCTAAAAGCGGGAGCTCGTCTTGCCCGGAGTTTCGATCCAAAGCCCGGGAGTGGATGGAGCCACCAAGGCCGAGGAGGACTCGTTCCCCTTCTCCATCTGCTTATGTCGCCCTTGTGACTTGGCTGCCTTCGTGGGCCGCTGGTCTTTTTGTTCAGAACAGAAGGGGAAGACGAAGCCTTCGGTTTTCGATGACGTGTGGCGGTGTCGCCGGATTCTCGCGTCCAGGTCTGCAGGGTGAGGGTCAGCCATTTGCGGAGGTGTCTTACCGGAGGCACTTCCACCAGATTCTGAGATGGCCTTGCCATTCGTTTCCCTTCGAGCTTGCCAGCTCTGGAAAAATGGAGATTCAGGTCTTCCTTGCAGAGGACGAGTCTGCTTTCCAGCAGCAATATCGGCAAGCAATGGGCTGCTGCACACTGAACTTGGACACATTAGTCGAGGTGGGGAAAGCAATCCGTTCTGCTTGAGTTGCCGCTGTACCTGCTGCAGCCATGAGCCCCTAGCCCGTGGCACCACGAAGTTGGCCCCCACTAGGGCATTCACTTGGGAGTAGGCCTGGGCTAAAATCTCTCAGCGAGCTGAAGAGGCCGTCTCCGCTTTCGACTAGCATCTAGACAGATAGACAGATAGACAGACAAGATAAGAGAAAAAACGCGTTGGCACACACACACACACACGGAGAGATATGGTGTTATATGTATACATATGTATATATATAATTCCATTGCAGCCGCTGTGGGGGTCCCACTTTTCCACCCGCAGACGAAGACACATTACGAAGACACATTCAAGCGCAGCCACCTCTCCTCCCGCAATGTGAAGACGATTTCCGCAGACGAATTCTCCGAAGACGCATTAGACCCCGAAGACGAATTAGACCCTGAAGACACTTTCCGCAGACGAATTCTCCGAAGACGAATTAGCCCCCGAAGACGGATTAGACCCCGAAGACGCTTTCCGCAGACGAATTCTCCGAAGACGAA